TTTGGCAGAACCACTAAACTTCCCATTTCCTTGCATTTCATGGTTATTTTTCCATTCTTTTCCTTGAAACGCTGAGCTACCTTGTGGCATTCCTGTCCCTTTCCAGTAAATCCTCTGAATGAATAGCTTTCCCCCTCAAAAAGATGGGCCAGGTTTTACTTTCAACTGCCTAAACACAGAGCTGGTGGAACTGGAGGAATTTGACTCCTATCCCCAAGAATTTAACTCCAATATCTCCATCAGAAACCAAAAAGCATCAGCTGTTGCATTTGTCTGGATTCCTTAAAAGGGAGGCTGAAACACAGGTCGGTGATTCTAGGATTGCTGGTCCCCCTTCCACCTCCCCACCCACCTTCCCACCCTTCCTGTATCTCAGGCCATGAAGTCACAGTCTTAGAAATGCTCTAAAATTGTTAAATCACCACTCTGAGCCCTAAAGCAGGATTGGCATCAGTTTTCCAGCTTCCCTGTGGTGAGGAACAGTTTAGTGCCAAAAAATCCTCTCATTCAGGGTGAGAAAGGCTTGGCCTTAGCTCTGTCGAGGCTTTGCTGACAAGTTTTATTATGTGTTGCAAGGCACCACAGCTGAGAGAGTTTAGGAAGAGGAGAGGGCAGTAATAAAAATTCCCATGTTTGCATCCCTGTTTTGTACACGGCTTCCATCTGTCTCAGATTCTCCTTAGCAACAAGTGCAGTTGGCAGGGAGTGCCAGGGCGAGGGGGAATGGCTTCACACTGACAAAGGGTGGGTTTAGACTGAGATATTGGGAAGAAATCCTTCCCGCTGAGGATGGGGAGGCTCTGGGATGGATTCCTCAGGTGAGCTGTGGCTGCCCCATGCCCAGAGTGTTCAAGCGTGGGTGGTTGGAAGGTGGGGGATGGAATGAGATGATTTTTAAGGTTCCCTCCAACCCAAACTATTCTGTGATTTTTAGGCCACACTTTAATACAACATATTAGCCTGGGACAATCTGTTCTGGTGTCACCTCGTGCACAGAGCAGGGAGGCAGGGACACCCTGCAGGGTCCCTGTTTCAGGATGCTCAAGGATGTGAAAGCACACCCTTGTGCTGATGCTCTAAGCACTTCAAATGTCCAAACCTCAATTATACAAAGCCAAAAGCAGCTGGAATAAATCCCACTTGCCCATATCCTGCAAGACACTTAATCTTATTTGGTCAGTAGGGCACAAAGCTGGAAAGTCAAGTGTCAACATCCCACAGCACTTCCCAAAGACTATCTTTCGCCTTTTATCTCCTGTGGAATCGAGGACAATCCCAAAATTCAGGTACTATATTCAGGATGTATTAATAAAGGAGATACATGACATATAGGTAATAACAACATTTCTTGTTGAGCAACAACATATTCTGCATTTCTGACCAGTTCCAACCCTTACCTTTCCTCCCACCCAGAAAGAAGTAAACTATTCAGTCCAGAGGCAGAAAAAGGAAAAGGCCCTGGAAAAGGCATGACAGAGCATTTCTAGGCATGTTTAGAAAACTTGCTACTGGCAGGGAAGCCCTAGGGAGACAAAAATACCTTTTAGGTGTATTAGTGCACAAACCAGCAGGATTTCCAGCATGGTGACAGGCAGTGCCCAGTCAGACTTCCAAAGACTTTATTTTCCCATTAGTTTAAATAATATTGACTCACCTCTCTTCTTACATGTTCGCTCTTTCCCCTTCTTCCCCTTTTTTTCCCCCAAAATTGCACAGCCTTGCAGTTGGTGCAGTCAGCTCTTCACTCCCCCTCTCACTCTGCTCTTCCTTCCTCTTTCACATCATCTGAAAACTGTTCCAGAGAAGGGAACCAGCAACCAGAGTTAACAAGTCAGTGACATATTTGTGGGTCCAAGAGCTGAAAATGCTGCAGTACCTGTTTACATGAATGCATATAAATATATATACACACACACACACACACACACATATATATAAATATATATATATACACACAAACATGACCTTCCACAGCACAGTTTCTGTGGTCAGGGTATTATTTCAAAGCTCAGCCCAAAGCCTTGGAATCAGGTGAAAGTTTCTGTTGATTTTGGTGGACTTTGAGGGCTTCTGATGGAGGTCAGCCCCCAGGAGGGTCAGCTTTCCACTCTGCCCTTTCTCTTCAGGGCCAGGAGGGAGACAGAGCTGGCCCCTACAATTGTTGGGCAATGGGACAAAGGTGGAAAGGCTGAAACACAGGACTCCTGACTCCTGCTTTCAACTCTTTCTTTTTTTCCATACTGGTCTTAGCACTTTATGG